ATTTTGAATTCTAAAGCTGTGCACATTCTCGGTGACGCTGGTTTCTTACTGATAAAACCTCATTAAACTTTTTTTGCGTTTGGATTCTTAGGCTCTTTGGCAACAGGCAGTACAAGTTTTAATCCTTAATTTTACGCTGTCGTAGAGGGGTGAAAAGAATAGCCAGTCAGTTTTTGAATTGAGTGTATTTAAATTGACAATTTTATTGTGGGGTAACATGTGCAAGTGTTGTTTTTTCGTTATTCAATTGGTCTTCTCTAAATTTTACTACTAAAAAACTAAAAGACTAGAGGTTATCGGATTTGTTTGTTTGGATCACAGCTTAATTCTTTGAGTGCTGTACATTAAAAACTGGTATATTTGTTACTGTTTATTAAAGAACAAATCTATTGTCATCATAAAATAAAACAAACTTTTATTAATTCAAATTTATTCTGTTATCTTAAAAACAAAGTTTTTTAATGAATGATTTGGTAAAAAGCGAAGGCCACATTATTGAAGAGTTATGTTTTGAGGGTGGAATTATTTTTTCTTTCAAATTATAACCCGAAATTGTCCTGTAAAAAAGTTTTTTTATTGAGTTTAAGAGATCCTCAATGGAGCCTCGGTGGCGTTGAAGTTTCTTCAGCTATTTTTCGTTTTTTTTTACTTGTTATTACTTTTCTTTTTATATTATGTTTTGTTAATTATTCGTCTTCTGTTATAGTTGCAAAAATAATATTAAACTTACTGATGATATGGGTTAGTTTAATAGAGGTTTTGAACTTATCAAGAAGTCATAGACTAAGAACTTAGGAGTGGCAGATGAAGTTAAAAGCTATGTGAAACAGGAAACAACAGAATTCGAAACTGAATGGAAAAGGGAATTGTTAGGGTTTTTTGTTGAAAAACTGGTAAGATGATGAGTTACTAATTGAAGTGCTACAAAAAGTGAAGACATCTACATTCGAAAAGCATATCAGTACCTTTTTAGCATTCAGTTTTATTTGTTTTAAAATTGCGCTTGACGGATGGTCTGTACATCATGCCTTATGGGTTTTTTATTAACAGGTTATTGTCAAATATCTGATTTTTCTATGAAAGAAAGCATCAGAAAACTTCTTGAAATTCTTACTTTTCTAATTCGTCGTTTATTGTTTTTTTTTTTTGTAGTCATTTTGAATTGGATTCATTTATTCTTTTGTTTCTATTTTTCTGATTGTTTTCTTTTCCTTCTTTTGTTCAGGTGAAATTTGCTTCTTTTTTGGCAAGCGTTACGACTGACGATTAGCTTTCTGGAAGGACTTTATCGCATTTAATTTTAGCTTACTTTGTAATTACTGCATTAAGGGATGATT